GCAAACCAAACTCACCTCGTGGGCCCAGGGGGAGCCCGCCCTGGCCTGGCTAAGGCCACTGGCTCGGGACGTTCCTTGCAGCCGCTCTGGGCTTGGCACAATGTGTTTCCCACCAGCCCAGGCCCCCGAACTGCCCCAGGGCTGAGCGCACCAAAGGCTCACTCCAAAAAGGCATTCAATGCCCTTCCAGGGTGCTGGGACAGGAGGAGAGCATTTTCCTGAGAGCCAGCATCACCGTGCTGTCCTTCCTCCCTGCAGCAGGGGGTAACCTGTTTCTGGGTGGGTGTCAGACACATCAGGACAATCTCCGGGATTAAGTCCTGGGCTCCGCTGTGCCAGCAGAGCTCGTCTCTCCTGCAGTGTGCCGGGAGCAGGTGGGTCTGCTGGGCAGAGGGCTCAGCTCACGCCAAGGACACGTCAAAGGCAAATGCTCCTTTATGCAACACACCGATCTCCGATTACAGGGGACATTTGACCCAGGCTCCTTGAATCGGACACTTCGCTGCCTGGCCTGAATAAAAAGCCCCAACAGAAATGCAGGATTTCTGGGTCACCCAACAGGCAGGAGGTGGGCAGCAGTGTGTGCACGTGGTTTCAGTGACTTCTGTTCTTTTTCAGAGCTGCTTTAAGTGTGGTGGGGGGCAGCTGGGTCCCCAGTGCATGCGCCGGCTGTGCCTCCGCGCTCCCTCCCATGCCCTGGAGCTGATCCTGTGACGTGCTCAGGGATCTCGCAAGGAGAAAACGTGCTGAGAGCTGCGGCTCAGCATCAACAGGCCTAGGAAGGGCTTGGGGAGGGACAGATAAAGATGCACCCCCAAGTTAATCCAGTTTGTACACCAAGTATCACGATCCTACCAGAAGAAAAATGACAAGCAAAGTAAAAATAGTAGCTGAGTCATTTATTCGAAGGTTGGTGGGGGGATCTGGTTACGGTGTGGGCAGAGCTGACACCTCACTAAACACTCCATGGCGCAAGACCTGTATTTTTATCTTGGCTACGAGCAACTCGACTTTTCGACGGTCCGGGCTCTGCCTGCTGGCCCAAACGCCGGCCACGGGCCACAGCACGCAGGACCGCACCAGGCCGGCTGCGGCACGGGCTACGCCAGCCTGAAAACAGGCCACGGCACACAGGTCCAGGCAAGCCAGAGGGAGGAAGGCTGCCATCATCCGACTTCAGCAAGCCTTTGAAGCCAGATGACTCCCCAGCTAATCAGCAACGGAATGGGACAGCCATTCCTCCCCAACAGCCCTGTTTCACAGGGAGCAGCAATTTGGGTGTGTTTAAGGAAACTAATGATGGGATGAGTTCAAAAAGGAGTGGCTTTGACAGAGCACCAAAATCAGCCCACAAGTTGTTTTCCTCTTGGAGGTGGCGTGTTATGATAAAAGCAGGAGGGGAGGAAGTGGCTTTGCCCCCCCAGGGAGAGCACTGGGACCAGGCCTGTGCCCCCTCCCCAGCATCACCGCTCCAGGCAGACACCAGCACAGGGAAGAGGCTGGTGTGGGTCACAAGGATCCCACAGGCTGCAGCTCAAGCCTGCCTGAACTCCATAAAAAAAATAAGGAGTTTTGGACTGACACTACCACAAGCAAATTAAGCTAAGGTCCTTAAATCAGGTCAGCCTGAAGATGAGTGCAGAGAGGGGTAAAACACATGAGCTGGACACCCCTGTCCCCGTGAGCAGGGTTACAGGTCCATGCCACAGTCACCAGCCTCTCACCACAGCCAAAACAGGATCCCCAGTGAATCAACCCCGGATGCCTTTATCGTGACAGGCCCAGAGCATCCTCCACATACCTGAACACTTCAGCCCTGTGATCTCTCACCCTTCCTCCTCTGCTGGAAGGGCAGCGCAGGTAGGGAGGCTTAACCAGGACCTGCCCCTGTGCCTGGCTCAGCTCATTAATCCCTGCTTTCCAGGACTCCGTTTATGCCGTTCCTAGTGTTGGATGAGAGATTTGGCAGTCAGCTACCCAATGCCTTCACATCCTGGCAGGACACAGAATTCCAGCAATCTGCACTGAATAAATCCCCCGCTGCCCAAGCCAGAACCCAGCAGTCAGTGCAGGGAAGGAGGGGGCAGGACACCCACAGCCCCACATTAGTCATCAGACCAATTCCCAGCCTCAATTCCTCAGGTTTAGAGGGTCAGGATTAGAGTCAGCATGTTGACTAAGCAGTCTTTTGCTAAACCTCCCCCTTGACGCAGCTGGATATTAACAGTCACCCACACTTTAACCAAGCCCACAGCACTCACAGTGTGGGATTTAGGCTGCAGTCCCATCCCCCATCCTCTCTGCAAGCATACAACAGTTCCCAGCAAGAAAACAAGGCTCCTTTATACTGCTACATTTTTATTAAAGTAACAAAAGCATACGTCTGTCAAAGGATCTGTACATTCTGTATATAAAAATGCTACTATACAATTAGTAACCATCCGCTCCCTCCTCCACATGTAGCTTACAAACTTTCTACCATTTTCACCAAATACAAAAAGCAGGTCCCGTTCAACAGTCCAGCTTGTTAAAAAAAATGACAAGAAACCCCTCAAATACACTGTCTTAAAATACACACCACAGCTCTGCAGTTGAGTATCAGGCTTGTAGGCAGAAGGCAACGGAGCACACTAATTCACAGCTTTTACATGTAACCAGCTACAAGAGAGAAATGGATTACACCCAAGATCGATTGGTTTTATAGCTAAAACCAGACACCTTTAACAGACTCCTCCACACCAGGGACAAAAAGACAGACCTGGCTATTTCGGTTCTGGAAGTGGGGGCATGTTAAGAGTAATTATAGTGTATTCCTTTGGTGTGGGCTGTTGTTCCTGAAAGTTTTTCTTCTGGTAAGAGGGAGGGAACAGAGTAAAAGCGTGGGGTAAATCTTCAGACTGCTTTGCTCGTGACAAGTTACAACCCAAGGAAGTACCAGCCTTCAGGAAACTCTACATCCAACCAAGGAGTCCAGCAAAGCAAACACTGCTCATCCTGGATGCAGTTCTCATCATGGGCTTTCTGCCTAAGCAGGTTAAGTAAGGACTCCAAGAAGCACCGAGATCCCTTTTCCTTGAAACGGGAATTTGCTTTTTGGAAGTTCCCAAGTCCTCCCCTCTTGGTGAGGTCACCTATTGCACAAGTTCACCAAGGGAAAAGCCCCAGTGCTTCATTTCAGCCTCTGCTTTGCTGACATGAGAAATTCAAGTGATGCAGAGGGAAGTGATGCAACTTCAGAGCAACAGCCTGCTATTACTGTTCAAGGACAAATAACTCACCACTTGACATTTTAAAAGGATCTAAGAATTGAGGCTGGTTTTCCAGTTCTGGAATTCATGATTTGAAGCTTACAAAAATCTGAACTTACTTTTCCACATTAGTACTCAGAGCTGAGGAACTGTGTTGAATTTTTTTTTTTTTTAATACATTAAAAAAAGATAAGAAGTGTGGCAGATGGGAGGCTTCCTTCCTCTCCCATAGCACCCCAGATTTGGAAATATATTGCACAAAAGTCTGAGAACTTGATTCAAAGGCTGGGCAAGAACAACTCTGGCTATGCCAGCCAGCTGCCACATCAGAGAAAGAGGAAGGTAAAAATTAAGTGTGCCAAGAGAAAAATCTGGGAAAGTTTTGTTACAACCAATCATGTCAAGGCCCTTTTTCAATCATTTCTCCCAGGATCACTGGAGGAGCACCAGCTGATTAGTAAACAGATAATGGACATACAACACCCTGGTAAAGGCTCATTCCCAACAGGCAGGCAAAGTTCTCGGGGCAGCACTCCCAGCTCCCGCCCCATCCGTAGTTAGTCAGAGCAGTTTGAGAGCCAAATCCCAAACACCACTTGGGCAAAGTCTCCCTGAACACGAGTACCACTGGGACTCTGAAAGGAGTTTTGCTTGAACAGACAGAGCACAGACCCAGGCATTAATTGTGCAAAACAGTTATGTACCAAGAGATCAGAGCCAAGCGATGCCCCTTACCAAGGTATCAGTGGAGACAGCTCCTAGGGACAGCCACATGCTGATCACCCAGAGGGGGAAGGGAGGGAAGAAGTGCTGTGACTTTAAAAGCAAGTTAGGACACCAAAGCATCCGAGCATCCCACACACAGGGGGAAGAGATCCCCAATACTTTAAGAGATAGGGCAAAGGGGGTTCTTGCACACCAACCTCTATAGCACAAGGCGAGTTGCTTCAGCTCTTCTGGAGGGGTGACAGCAAGTCGTCAGCACTGGATTAGGCAACTTTTACAAGCAAGGGGCCAGACTCCACTCTTGGGAGCACAGAGAGGCCACGCAAGAGCTGGTCGTGGGCTGATGTCTAAGCCACACATCGCAGACAGGCTTTGTAATTCACAGCTGCTCAGTGCTGGTTTCGGGGTCTGGTGCACCCTCCTCAGGGTGCAGCGAGGAGTGGGTGATAGCCAGGTACTGGGGAGCACCAGAACACTACTCCAGTGCCACCACAGCAGCTGCTATATCCATCTTGAGGACCTCCTCTGCACAGCCCAACCCCCAGTGCATCTCTGCCTTGCTCCATCTCACAGGACACCGATACCCACGTGGCCCTTTTCAGTCCAGCAGCAGACAGGAAAGATGGAGGGGCTGGAGACAGGCCACGCTCCCCCTCACGCTGTGCTGTGAGTGAGGCAGAGCAGAGCTGCACCACACACGGAGTAAGTGGGTCCAGAGGAGATGCGCAAGAGCAACGGAGAGGGATACCAGGGTCCCTGGCATCACCCAGCCCTGAGGCAAGGTTCCCCCAAACACTATATCCAGGTCCCAGAGAGATCAGGCCAGCTGGGGAGTGAAGAAGTTAATGCAGGAAAGACAGCAACTCCTTCATCCCTTCTCCAACAGTATTGCAATACTTGGCAATACAGCAATACGGTTGGGTACCAGGGTAGTGAGAAGGTGACAGATGGCTCCCAGCACCAAGCCACACTTCCCAGCCTGGCTCTTCCCTCTCCTCCTCCATTCCAAGCTGCCCAAGTGAGCAAGCCAGCCCAAAATTGCCATCCAACACTAATTAGGTAGATATCGGCTTCATCATAAAAACTCACAAGCTTGCAACAGCTTTAAAAAAAGGCACCAGGAACACCGCTTCTGTTCAAAGCGGTGCCCAATATTTTAATTTTGGATTTTCTTGGATTTTTTTTAAAAAATATAAATAGCTCTTCATCTTAAAAATAGATCCTCAGGTGAGGTATACAGTAGCCTGTGTCTTGGCAGTGTAAGGACAAGAGGAGTATTTAGCTGGAGACAGTCATGATGTAGTTTTTGGAAGGACTGGTGCGACCTAACATCATCTGGTTCTTACAGGTAAGCATCCCATAGGAGCTCACAGGTTTTGCTGCAGTCGCTTCGTACAAGACACAGATAGAGCCGTCCTCACCGATGCGGTACGAGACCTCATAAGGGTCCACCCAGAGCGTGAGCTCGCTGGGCAGGAGCTGGTAGAGCTGCAGTACGCTGAGTCCGATCTGGCTAGCTGCCTTGCTGATGATGGGGTCCATTTTGTGATTGATCCGGATGCAGCGATACCCAGAGCCTTTGAACGGTTTCTCAGGAAACCAGTGGTGTTTGTAGTGCTCTGCAAGGGAAGCGAGAAGGGAAGGGTGGTGAGCAGGCACGCAGCAGCTGCGAGGAGGTCTGCACCCTGCTGCAGTCCCGAGAGGGTCCCACACCTCACTGTAGACGGAGGAATCCAACTCCTCCTCAGGCTGCCTCCATCAGGACAGAGGCTCCAGAGCTGAGCACTCAACTGTTCAGCCACCACTTGCTCCAAAGGGCAGGAGCACAGCTCTCGAGTCCTAGAAACCCCAGGCAGGATGGTGTCACAGGGGCTGCAGTCATGGGACCCCAGCACCTTCTCACCTCAGCTGCTGGGGTGGCCAGGGTAGATACCGTATCGCCCACAACAAACCACCACAGTCAGGGAGTAACATCCAGCTCATTCTGTAAGTTCAGGGGCATGTCACTACCCTTTATCTTGGTGCAGCGGCAAGCAAACCATCCCTTCCCAGGGCTGATAACACAAGGCTGTATTAGGCTGGGAGGAGACCCCTGAACCACCCAGTTAGTGCCAAGCCCCAGACATGCTTGTGGGGAGGGGGGCACTAAACCCCACCGACACAGGACTAAGCACTTCTTGCCAGGGGACAGGGCACACAGATTAGCTTTGGATCATCTGTATCCAGCCCCAGCAAGGAGGGCTCCAAGCAGATGGGCCACAAAACCCTCAGAGACTAGGCAGGGGATCTGCTCACTTTCAGGGCTGAGGTAACTGTTTGCCCAGGACTCCACAGGGACACAGGTGGGTGCCCAGGGAGGCACACACATACCTGCCAGTCCCCAGAGGGACACAGGTGGGCACCCAGACAAGTATCCAGCATCAAGGAGGACAGATATGGGTGCCAGGGAAGGACACAGATGGGTGTCCGGCCCAAGAAGACACAGGTGGGCACCCAGGGCAGGACACCAGGTCCTGGGAGCAACACGGGGGGCACCAGAGAAGGACACCGGTGGGCGTCCAGCCCCGAGGGCGAGAGGCACGGACACGAGCAGGCGTTCACCGCGGACCTTCCTCCCCACGCAGCCGCTCTCTCCCC